ATTTGATATTAACTAATGGGGATGAAATTGCTCTTGGCTCTTGATATTACTGAGTGTTCCCTTTGGGGGCTGGATTCCTTCCCAGTAAGTGGTAGCAGCCACCAGTAAAGGTGAGTTTGACATTGCTGCAAACTGTCCCTAAAGCAACCCATGCAACTGTGCCAGCAGTAACTCGCTTTGTTCGGATTATTTATTGAAGGTGAACTCCTTGAGCATACAGAGCACAGAATGTTTTTGTGAGTACAGAAAAAGACCCCAGAGATGTGCTGGAGGAAAAGTTCTCAGGGTGAAAACCATGTCTGGCACTGCATAGGCTGCAGGCTGCTACCTTCAACTGCTTTTGGCTATTTGGTTCCAGGCAAGGGGCAGCTTCCCTGGTTCTGAAAGAGCCTGTTGTTTCCAGTAACTGAGGGAAGAATTACTGTTGTTTATGGTTTAGAAAGCAGGGAGAGAGAACTGGGATACTTGGCTCTCTGTGCCTTACTATTCTTATCTATAAAGTGTGGGCGACAATATTTCACCCTCTTCAGAGGGACATTTACAAGCTAATGGACAGAAAGTGCTCAGGAACTCCCCACCTCGGCAGTTGGGACACCTTGGCAACCTGCCCAATAGCTTTTAGATGTGCCTTGCCTAAGCAACAACGAGTGACAAGGGGCACAAACACTTTGTCTCTAAAGTGCTGGGTGCTCCCTGCATGCTGTGTGTCTGTGGGCAGTGCTGCTCTTGTGTTGGGAGCCTTCTCCTCCCTCTGTTCCAGGATGCACAGAAGCTTCCTGCAGTTCTGGTGGCAGACCTGCTTTTCTAGCCAATTGAGAGGGTTCCTGTGTTTCAGCATCACCATTAACTCGGAGAAAGTTTGGCTAATGAGCCAACACACTTCTGCAAGCCCCAGAATGGGACCGTGCCTGCTACCTCCAGCCTCTTGCCTGATTCCTGCCATTTTTTATGGCATTGCCATTATGCTCTCTGCTGGCTCTAGACACTCAGAACTACCTCTGTCATATCTGTTTTTCTGGATATTTCTGCTGTAAGACTGTGCAACCCTGGAGGCTTTCAGCAGTGTTAACTTGTCCTCAGTGCTAGTGTATGAGAAACCTGCCATGCTGTCTCTTCTTTGATATCTTCCCTGGATTTGGGCTGTTGAGAGGCTTCTCTGATCTCTTCCACTAAATAACACAACCTAGAACGATCTTAGTAGGAAAGGGTCTCTGAGTTTTAAAACCAATGTAATCTTTGGGAAAGGAGTAACTTAGATCTTTGATGGTCCAAAAGGCCTGACAGCTGAGGCATGCAGGAGAAACCCAGTTGTTCAAATAGTGGGAACATGAAAAGTGTTAGTGTCAATCTTAGGTTAATTGGAAAATATTCAAAGGACTTTGTTTTGCTTAATTTTGAGGTTAGAACTTCCCTGGGGTTCTATGAAAAGAATGCAATACTGGCAGCTCCTTTGAAATATGTAGGAGTGAGCTGCAAAGCAAAGAAATTGTTAGAGGAGATGTGACCTCCTCCTGGCTGGCTGGACAGCAGGAAAATGAAGATGAGAATGTTATGCAATTGCTCTTGCTTCAAGAGCAGTCTATGGTGTGACATAAGTGGATAGGTATGAAGGTATCATTTCGAAAGCAGATCCTCTGTTCATCCTGATACACAACATCAAAAGTGAGGTTTCCTAGCTCCAAGCTCTCTCCAAATGCACACATTGCCCATGGGAAGCACCAGATACATCAGGTGTGTTGTGACTCCACTGGTCTGTCACAAACACCACTGGCAGCATCAGTGGTAAGATGTGCATTGCTCATCAGTAAAAGACCAGGTTTTTGGATTAACTGTATGCCCTTGTTAAGGCCACCCCTTTTTTGTTATCTTTTGATTTCCTTTTTTGTTTAAACATGAGGTGTTTCAGGGCAGGGAGTGTCTTAACTTACATTTTTGGAGTATTCTGCAGAACAGGAACCTGCCCGTGGTACTCTTGGCACTGCTGGTTGTAACCTGTGGGCACGGGAGGGTGGGGGGACTCACCTGGCAAGTCTGGAGCCTGCAGAGCCAGTTCAGCTCAGGGAGTCACACAGGGGAGCCTCTGGGGCTCCATGCAGAGAGGGGGGAGCAATAGCACAACCACCTTATCTGTCCTGCTCCCCGTGCCTTGTGCCAGGGTAATTCCAGCTGGGCATTCTGCTACACCATCTGCAGTAAGGCAGCACAAGTAGATGAAGAATTGACATCATACTGGCTATGAAGAAGTTTGAGAGCAGCTCTTTAGCCAGGGAAAAGTTGGAGAAGCCTATTCAGACAGGAGGCAGATTCACTTTCCTAACCTGCTTTTGAAGAAAAGGAATTCCTCCAGGATTGTGAGGCTCTTCACCACTGTATTGCCTCAGAAGCATTTCAAGCCTTGGAGAGCCTGAAGACTGGTAACCATGTTCAGGGTGCAGTGTTTAACCACATACCCAGATTCATGACATTGGTGGTGCAGTGATGGAAAGAGGACCCCAAAATAGGAAACAGTGCCTGGGAAATGAGCACACCACCAGCCTGATCAGGACCTCCAGCAGACCTCTTGGAAGAGAGAATCCTACAGGATTCTTACAAAGAGCAGAAGTGTTTCTCAACCCTTTTGGCCTGTGTGCCAGTTCTGCTGAATGAAAAATCACTTATATTGATTGAAGAACTCTTCCTTCTAGCAGTTTGAATCATGGAATGAGGAAAGTGGGTGTCAGACCTCTCTTGGGTTTTTGTTTCTTCCCTGTTTTGAAGGCTGAAATAGGCTGTTCTAGTTTGATCAACTCTGTAAGTCACACCAAAATCTGCATGGTTCCCTTCTGCCAAAAGTGGGGACCTCTGTTCTACCCCTGGAAAGGTTCCCAGTCCTGGGCTGCAGACATTCAGGGAAACAATCCATCACTTCACTTGTGTTGAGCCTTCCCACCCAACCCCAAAGTAATGATGCAGGTTTTGTTTTCGTCCTGAATTTGCCTGGCTAGTTCAGGCTCCTAGCTCTCACTTTTTTCACTGCATTTTACCCATGGGTATAAGTGCACTGTAGTAAAATGCTTTTCCATACCAAGGGAACCAGAGGGTACTTTCAGGCTATCATGAAGCTGTTCATCGACCTGCTCTTTTTGCTCCTGAAGTGCTTAGAAGGCTCTGGGAATACTCATTATTAGTGTTGTGTAATGGTCACAGTGCACTCCAATAGTCAACAATATGTTGTAAAAAGGCCAAAAGCCAACACCCGTGTGGACTGGTCCCTTCTGGGCAATAAAAAAGTAACCTCTGGAGAATTTTAACCTCATACTGACTGCTATTACCTTGCTTTATCCTGTGTCATCCTCAATCAGCTTTCAATTTAGGTTGAAATGCAATTGAAGATAGCATAAAATATAGAAGAAAAAATTCTGGAGGAAAAACCCCAACCTTACACATTATCTGTCATTATAGACTGGGCATTGTATTAGATTGAGTATGATTTTATGTTAATGGAGAGTAGTATCCCTTCTTTAGGAAGATAACTGATTCACTAATGGAATAAGTCATCATGTACAGCCAATAAGAGCATAGTTGTAAACTTTTGTATGTATTTCAACTCTGAGGTGTTCGGGGTCTGAACTTCTGGCTTTGTTGTTACCTGTTTCTTTTGTTAATACTGGAGTAGATGAGCTGCTTGGGAGCTCTGGATGATCCAAAACAACACAGAGGGAAGGTGCTCCTCTGATGGAAACATAGTCCAGAGGCAATCAAAATCAATGTAAGCTGCAGTTTTGGCCAGAGCTTGGAGTGATGCCCTTTAACAAGATGTGTTGAAAGCTTCCATTACATAAATGTCCATGACCAGTTTTGCAAAAGATGCAAAAAAGAGATGTGAGTCAAAGCCAAGCACGTTTTCTGTGCCTTGGAAATGAATTGCCTCCAGTGGGCCCTCCTAGGAAGTTCAGGCTGTTTACCATATGGAGGCTACCATGGCCTTATCTTTGTGTTCCTACATCTGTGGTCAGGAACTGGTCCAGCTGTGCTGAGTTGCTCTTTGCCTGAAACCTGTGTGAGTTCTACTTGTGTTCATCCCTGTGGTGCTGAGCTGGGCTGTGTGCAGTTCACCATGGCTCATTTGGTTCCTTGCTAAGTGCAAGATGAGGCTCCTTGGTTTATCTGGGTATGCACAAAAAGATAAATGACTACGAGACTTGAAAAGGTGGTGGGAAGATGAATGGTAAACTAGTGTTCTGGTTTTCTTGGTTGCTTTCTCTTGTTTAAATGAAATCTGGGTTGGTCTAGATTTGGGTCTGATGTTTAATATTCAAGTTGACAAAAGTAGTGTACAGGTTTGGATGATACTCTGGACAAACTTCCAGAGGTCTAGGCATACTTAGAAGACATAAACTTGTATTTCTGTTGCCTGAGTCTTTTACAAACTCTTGAATAACCCTCGCCAGAGTATTGAACCTTTTTGAACTTGGAGAAGAGCACTGGTCTCCTATGAGCTGAGTGGTGCAGGTTGAGATTCAGCTAATATTTGTTGAAGAGTAGGAGTTCTTTAGAGGCATGAGAGGCTTAGCTAATATTTGCAGAACACTTTGAGGTCTTGGGATAGATACTGTTACCAAAGGGTGAAGTGGTATTCACATGTTCTGTCATGTCTGTGTTGTTTACAAATAGAATAGAATGATGTTTTGAAGGTCAGGGACCTTGAGAACAATAGTGGGTTTGAAGCACTCATTTATTTTTACCAAGTTCAGATGCCTGGCATACACTAACATTTCATTTATATAAAGGATCTGATCAAACATTTTGGTTGTTTAGAGGAGTTGTTTTGCTTGTTTTCAGGCTGTTGAAATGTCAGATGATGAAAACAAGCAAGAGTTCCAGATGGAGCAACTGGAAGAGAAACACAACAAAGATGGTAATGGGAAAGCTACAGATTCACACTTGATTGGGAGGCCCGTGCTTGGGATTGGGAGTCCCCACCTGTGGCTTCCAAGCCCACTCTGTGCAAGCCCTTGTGCAAAGCAGCATCCCATGAGGAAGTTCTTCATTGTTATGGTAAGCAAAGCCAGTAACAGCTTCTTTTCACTGTTCATTAGTCCATCCATGCTGGGAATTGTTTGGGAGCTACAATATCATCTGGAATACTCAGCTTTTATACGGCCAAGAAAATCATAAGCACTCTGCTTTAATGACTCCAAATTTGAATTGGAGTTTCATGACTTACATTAATAGGGTGAATAAATGCCCACTAGTTTGATCTGATTCACTAGCATTCATGCTGTCATTTGCACCAGCAGATCAATCTCTGTCTTCCTAACTTCTAGTGAGGATACAGACTAAATCTGTGTTTGAGTAATGTTGGAAGATGGTGATATAATAAATGCTGTAAACCCCTGGTCATAGATGGAGAAGTAAAAGCTGGTAAAAACATCTATCTAATCAGACAACTCATTTAACACAAAAAATTTGTCTAACTTCCTCTAGTCTACGGCCAGCTTTCTTGAAGACAAAGGGAGGTGTAATTTGTACTGGCAAAGCTAACCCTGATTTAAAATCAGAGTAAACATTTGGCGCAAATTGCAGCTTTTGTTTGTTTACACTTGAAGCTATGCTAGTCACTGAGGGCTGGCGTTACAGCAAATTCCTAACGTATGCTGCCATCCAATCTGCAATATTGGTGGTGGCTTATTCCCTAATGTTTTGGAAGCAGAGTACAGTGCAGGAGACTGAAATTACCTTGCAATGACTAACTGGAACAGCTTCGTTGGTGGTGGTGATTGTAACATGGGAATGTACAAGGATAGCATCAGGATGTACTTGTTCAATCGCTGCTGTTTATTGTGTCAAACAATTATTTTAAGGACTCAATTCTAACTGCTTTAAACTCTTTCTACCTCCACTGAGACAGAAGCTGCTGAGCACCTTGCATGGCTGTGTCCTTAGTTTCTGTGCCAGGCTAAGGGATGGGCAGAGAGGCTTTCAGAAAGGAAAAATGTTACATTGAAAGGCACTAATCTGTGACACAATGTGAATGTGATCTTTAGTTCTGTTTGGAGGCTGCTCATCCAAAACAGGAGAGCCATGCTCATCAGAGATATTCATAAGCTGCCATCGGTGGTTATCCATAAGCCATTGTACCCAAAAGACAAAGGGGGGTAAAAATAATTATCCCTGAATTTGACAGTTCAGAAGATGTGATGTATAGAGGAATGGAGCTAAACCCATGGGATTGGTGCTGCCTAATTAATGGCTCTTTGTTGCTGTGCCATAGCCTGTGCTGTGCTGTGAGCACACACTCTAAGAGGCAAGTTCCCTGTGCCCAGGTTTGGAGCTTATAAATTTGGGCTTGCCATATACTCCCAAAAACTAGTCTGGAGCTTTCAGCCACATAATACTCTGTCTATGTGAGTCAAACTATAGGGATGTATACACACACACATAACTGAGCTTTCATTTTAGAAGTTAGTATTCAGTTGGTTAAAACCCCAAGTGTAGTGATTATGTGAGAAAGTCATTATTTACTGGCTTTGAATCCAACTGTGGGAGGCAGATCAGAGGTGCTTTGGTATAAAGGTATAGATAGTAACTCACAGAACTGAGTCCTACTTGCAGAGTAAAAAAAAAATATCCAACTTTGTTAATTATAGTCCTTTCTGTCTAGTTCCTTTGCTTTGCATTTCTCTGTGGAAGGCAACTTTATCTCCTCTGAGGAAGACATCAATACAGTCAAATTAGAGCTGTGCAGGAGGAATGTTAGGGAGGCCGAAATAATCTGAAATGCCCCTCATTTTTGTGTTTTGCTGCTGACATGAAGAGACACTAATGTTGAAGCTTGTTGGATTTCTAGACAGAGGAACACATGAGGTCTGAGGCCTTCACACACCTTTTATATCTCAGGAGACACAAACAGTAGCTCCATGCTTTTTTCCCTCTCCAGCTCTGCCTTTTGTGTCAGCTGTCAATAGTAATGCTTCATGAAGAATCAGCTGAATTTTCTTTTTTTTCTTTATTTTCTTCCTCATTTAACATTGCTCTAAACTTGATGTAGTTACAGGAAATCTACTGAAATAACACACATGCAACAAGGAATCCAAGCAAGGCAGAAACTTAAAATCCAACAGATGACTGTAATAACCTGTGAGGCTTTCTGTGCTTCCACCTCAGGTCCTGTTGTAATAATTCAAGATCTTTGAGATAGCTTTGGTAATTTTTAATGCTTTATTTTTGGTGACTGAAATATTGTTTGCTCAATAGAGCTAATTGATCTTTCCCTGTCATGAATTCTGTGACAGAATGTCAGCGAGGATGTCATGGCTGCCTTGTTGCTCTCTACATGAGACACGTGGAGATGCAGATAATTTTTTTTATAAAATTTGTTTTTATTGATTTTGCCAGATAGAAGATAGATGAAGGGTAGCTGTGCAATTTTTTTGGCTGCTATGGAGTACAGGCTGTAAAGGAAACTACTGTTAATGACTTTCTGTGAAGGCACCACCTACACATTTATCATTGAACTGATGACCTGGAGATCAAGCTGAAACAGTTGTATTTTAGCTGTGTTCTTTTATTGCCAGGTTTACTTTAGTATTCTTTTGCAACATTCCCTGACTTTATCCACGAGTGTTTGTCCAAGCCATGGAAGGTCCATGTTGTCAAGAGTACAGAGAAAACTACTCCAGCTCCTGGGATTTGACTGAGAGATCATGAAGGTTCTTGTGGGGTCAGGCTGTGGTGATGGTGAAGGGTTGCTGGCAAGAAGCCGTGGCCAGGCTGGCAGAGGTGCAGCAGAGTGGGGCACATGAGCTTTGTGCACACAGGACAGGTGCCCAAACACCTGCACTGTGCTGGCCTCAGTGCCAGTGTTGCTTCACATGTAGCTGGTATTTGGCCTAGCTCATCTAGAGGCACGTGTATATTTAGAATGCAGACCTATTTCTAATAATAATCGTTCTGAAGTGATTTCCAGATAAGTCAATTATCTCACTCCTCTTATAATGGTAACTATTAATTACTTGAGTTATAGGCACAGAGCAAAGATGATCAAAGCAGATGATGCAATGGGATACTGAGATGCACAGGGTGGTTTAACACTGATGATGTCTGTTCACTCTTTCTGAAATTCTTTGAAGATGGGTGATATGTAATATTTCTAATTGATTATATTAGCAAGAGTGTTATCTGGAGGGCACTTGATGGGGATTCAGGATATCTCACCCTGTTTCTTTGTATTTGATTGGCCAACTGAGCAAGTTAATGCCTCTTCCTGTGCCTTAGTTATCTCACTATTAAAATGCAGTTAATCACTCATAAAACTGAGATAATTATACTGCCCTTTCTGAAAAGTGCTCAGACATTTATTGAGTACAAATTCTGAATGCATTTTTGAAGTTATTACCATTTTCTTCATTTAGATAATAACATCCAACATCAGTGACTCTGATTTGTTCAGAGCAGGCAAGGGGAGATGGGAACTTGAATCATTATTGGTTTCACTTCAAAGTTCTCTTCTATCTCTTTAAAGGAAACAGTAAAAGTTGATGCCAGAGCTCTTCTTTTTGCTGCAAATTGGTGCTTCTCTGCAGTGCCTATTTCTATTTAAGAGAATCCTAGCATTTGGCAAATGACAACTCTTCAGTCTAATAGGTGGCACAGCTCTCTTGTCTGGGAGTGTAAATGTTCTGAACTTAAGAATCTTTGCAGGTGGCACCCTCGATTTAGCAGAGACAAGAATAACATCTATTGCCATTCCTGACAGTTTTTATGCCCCACAAAGCCATTTGAAAATGTAGAAGTAGGTAGTGGAGGTTCATGTCTAGGTGCTTTGGAAACCCATTGTGTACAAATTAGCTGAATATCAGCCTGAGGTGTCATCCATTGAGGAAAAGCCTTCTTTAACTTTTGTTCTCTTTTGCATACTGCTTCCCTTTTTGATACTTTCTGAAAAACCTGTAATATTCCTGTTTGTCTTCCTAAAGAGGAGAAGAAAAGAAACCTCTGTCTAATCTTGAGTTGGTGAATGTTAATGTGGCTGGAAGGAAGGTGGCCATTCATACCAGTAAGAGAATGGAGAGCTGCTGGTGGAGCCAACATGACTGATGGAGAGCTGGCATTGAAATGCTCACAGGTTATTCAATGTGCTTGAAGACGGTAGAAAGGAGGAGATACCTTAGGTCAGAATTGCTGCAAGGTATCCATTTGCATCACAAAGTTTGGGAATACTTCCCACTGTTCTCTAAGATTGGATCTGGCCTCAGGACCAACCCATTTTGCAGCTCAGGCCAACTCCATAACCAAAACTCATTTTCTGCTTTTATAAGAAGTGACATTTCACATAAGAAGCATCACCTGATCTTGTTGGAGCTGGTAAAGGCAGAAAAGAGTAGAAGAGATTGAGCAAATGGCTTTCCCACCTGGAGAGGCTGGTCTTGCTAAAACAGTATTAAAATCTTTCAACCCAGCCATATTACATGATCAGAGAGCTTTTTTCCCACATGCCACTGAAACACCTTGTTGCTAAATCCCAGGTTGAAGGTGATAAGTCTGCCTTTTATGTGGTGCTGTATGCAAGAGGCCAAAACTGATGCTGCATTTCCAAGTGCTGGGTGCTGTTCACACAAGCCCTGAGCCTTAGTCAGTCCCTTCTCCAGAGAATTTGTAACTGGAACAGACAAAGTGGGGATGAAGAAGGTCTTTTCACAAAGGCAGTTTTTAGCTGGTATGGGCACAAAGGGTATGCTTTCAAAAATCTTACTATTATTCAGTTGATTTGGACAGCACAGGGAATATATCCAGGTTTCTGCAACAACTGATTTGACAATTTGGCAACGGACAAATACACTGTCAATAGGCTTCTTCCACTTCTTTTGGGAACACAGTATCTTCTGTCCAGTCATCTCTTCAAATATCTGCTCCTCAGGATCTATAAAGTTGTGCCAGATACGCTCTGAGATGCAGGGAGTTTCTGGCAGAAAATAGGAATCCACATCTGTAGAATGCTCCAACACAAGGACTAATTTTCTGCTCTCAGGCTTAGAATGTTGTCCCTGAGTTTTACC